TGGAATACCATTTTCTATACTCTTGCTTTCAGTCTGTATGTGTCTCTGGATCTGAAGTGAGTCACTTGTAGGCAGAATATATACGGGTCTTATTTTCTTATCCATTCAGCCACTCTATGTCTTTTGTTTGGAGCATTTAGTCCATTTACATTTAAGGTAATCATCTATATGTATGTTCTTATTCTCATTTTGTTAATTGTTTTGGATTTGTTTTTGTATGTGTTTTCCCCCCTTTCTTCTTTTGTTCTCTTGTGATTTGATGACTATCTTTGGTGTTATGTTTGGATTCCTTTTTCTTTTTGTGTGTATATCTATTAGAGATTTTTGGTTTGCAATTACCATGAGGTTTGTAACAGAGTCTCTCTCTCTCTCTCTCTCTCTCTCTCTCTCCATATCTATCTATCTATCTATCTATCTATATATATATATATATGTATATATATGATTGTTTTAAGTTGTTGATCTCTTAATTTCAAATGTATTTTAGATACCCTGCATTTGTACTCTCCTGCCCTCACAATTACTGCTTTTGATGTCATATTTTACATCTAATTGTTCTGTGTATCTCTTAACCGCTTATTGTGGATACAGATGATTTTTACTACTTTTGTCTTTTAACCTCCCTACTAGCTTTGTGTTTGGATGATTTCCTACCTTTAATGTAGGTTTGCCTTTACCATGAGTTTTTCCTTTCATAATTTTCTTGTTGCTAGTTGCAGACTTTCTTTTTGGCCTAGAGAATTTCCTTTAACATTTGCTGTAAAGCTGGGTTGGTGGTGCTGAATTCTTTTAGCTTTTGCTTGTCTATAAAGCTTTTGCTTTCTCCCTGAAATCTGAACAAGAGCCTTGCTGGGTGGAGTGTTCTTGGTTGTAGGTTTCCCCCTTTCATCACTTTAAATATATCCTGCCACTCCCTTCTGGCCTGCAGAGTTTTCTGCTGAAAAATCAGCTGATAGCCTTACGGGAGTTCCCATGTATGTTATTTGTTGCTTTTCCCTTGCTACTTTAAGAAAACCACGTAATGTTTCTGGTTTCTGTTTTTAATTTCTATTGAATTCTCATTGAAGTTTTTTTTTTTTTTTTTTTTTTTTTTTTTGTGGCATGCGGGCCTCTCACCGCTGCGGCCTCTCCCACCGCGGAGCACAGGCTCCAGACATGCAGGCCCAGCGGCCACGGCCCACGGGCTCAGCTGCTCCGCGGAGTGAGGGATCCCCCCGGACTGGGGCACGAACCCTACATCGGCAGGCAGACTCTCAACCACTGTGCCACCAGGGAAGCCCCTCCCTTGCTACTTTTAATATTCTCTCTTTATCTTTAATTTTTGTCATTTTGATTACAGTGTGTCTTGGTGTCTTCCTCTTTGGGTTAATCCTGCATGGGACTCTGCAATTCCTGGACTTGGGTGACTATTTTTTTTCCCACGTTAGGGAAGTTTTCAGCTGTTATCTCTTCAATATTTTCTCAGGCCCTTTGTCTCTCTCTTCCCCTTCCGGGACCACTACAATGTGAATATTAGTGCATTTGATGTTGTCCCAGAGGTCTCTTAAACTGTCCTTATTTCTTTTGTTTTTTTCTGTTCAGCAGCAGTGATTTCCAGTACTCTGTCTTTCAGCTCATTGATCCATTCTTCTGTATCATTTAGTCTACTATTGATCCCTTCTAGTGCATTTTTCATTTCAGTTATTGTATTCTTCATTTCTGTTTGGTTTTTCTTTGTATTTTCTAACTCTTTGTTAAAAGCTTCTAACTTTTCACTCTGTGCATCCATTCTCCTCCTGAGTTCTTTGATCACCTTTACAATCATTACTCTGAACTTTCTCAGGTAGATAGCCTACTCCACTTCACTTAGTTCTTCTGGGTTTTTATCTTGTTCCTTCGTCTGAAACATATTCCTCTGCTGCTTCATTCTGTCATAGGTTGCTATTTGTATTTTTGTGTATGTGGTAGGTTAGTTACATTTCTCAACTTTGGAGAAGTAGCCTTTTGTAGGAGACGTCCTATGCATGCCAGCAGTGCACTCCCCTCTCATCACCCAAGCTATATGGTCTAGGGGTCCCCCTAAGAGGGCTGTGTGGGTCCTTCTTTTGTGTTGGGCTGACTATGTGGGTGGCCTGGTAGGCTTGGTTGGTTCTTAGTCCAGTTGGTTGCCAGGCCCTGTCTTGTGTGGATGCTGCTGGCTGCTGTTTAGTGGGGCCTGGTCATGAGGCAGCTGGTTGCAGAACTCAGTGGGGCCCCATGGCTAGTGTTGGCTTACTGCTGAGTGGAGTCAGGGTCCCGAAGACACTGGGGCTATTGCCTACCCACTGGCAGGTGAAGCTAGATCCTGGGGTTAGTGCTGGACTACTGGCAGGCAGAGTTCATTTCTGGTCTGACTACAGGGCCCAGGGATCCCAAAGCTCGTTTCATATCACTGGCTGGTGGGGCGGGGGGGGAGGAAGTTCCTGACACAGTTGGGTATAGTGTGTGGAGTGTCCCAAAGATTGCGTTGGCATGCTAGTGGGCAGGGGCAGTGCCCAGCTTGTCTCAGGGTCAGGTCTGGCTTGCTGTTGGCAGGCTTGGTCTGCAGGCTGAATTACTGTATTTTTCTGCTACTGGCGTCTGCCCCCTGGTGGGTGAGGCTAGTCTAGAGACTAGTATAGGCTTCCTGGTGGGAAGGGCTGGTGGCTAGAGGTGGGTCTTGGCTCTGGTGGGAAGGGCCATGTCTAGCGGTGTGTCTGGGTCAGAAATCTTTAGGCAGACTTTCTGTTGATGGGTGGGGCTATTCCCCACCCAGTTAGTTGTTTAGCCTGAGGCATCATTGGCACCTGCAGGCTGTTGGGTGGGGCCAGGTTTTGGCACTAATGAGCTAAGATGGCAGCCCCCAGCAGCAGTATTTACACATTTGAATATTTCCCAATATCTCTGCCACCAATGTCTATGTCTCCAGGTTGAGCCATAGCTGCCCCATCTCTCCAGGAGATTCTCCAAGACCAGCAAGTAGGTCTGGTCCAGGCTCCTATCAAATTAACGTTTTTGCTCTGGGTCCCAGTGCACATGAGATTTTGTGTGCACCCTTTAAGCGTGAAGTCTCTTTCCCCCAGTCTTGTGAGGCTCCTGCAATTAAACCCTGCTGGCGTCAAAGCCAAATGCTCTGGGGGCTTGTCTTCCTGGTGCCAGACCTCCAGGCTGGGAAGCCTGCCATGGGGTTCAGAACTCTTAGTCCTGTGGGAGAACCTCTGCAGTGTAACTATTCTCCAGTTTGTGGTTCACCCACCCAGGGGGTATGGGATTTGATTGTATCACGAGTCTGCCCCTCCTGCCCACCTTGTTGTGGTTCCTTCTGCATGTCTTTAGCTGTAGAAGATCTTTTCTGGTAAGTTCCAGTCTTTTTCATTGATGGTTGTTCTGCAGATAGTTGTGATTTTGGTGTGCTCATGAGAGGAGGTGAGCTCAGGGTCTTTCTATTCCACCATCTTGGCAGCTCTCCTAAATCACACTTTTTACCAACTATCTGCCAGGGTGTGTCACTTAACATACTCATTTAATCCTCACAACAACCCTATGAGGGAAGTAACATTACAATCCACATTTTAGAGATGACAAAATTGAGACTTAAGGAAGAAAATGAGACCATATACTAGGATTTAAACTCTGGTCTTCTGATTCCAATCTTAAACAGCAATGTTATGCTGCCTCCACTTATAGCAAAAAAAAAAAAAAAAAAGTTAAAATTTGTCTTTAATCAGGAATTACTGATTCCTTACTGATTAAATTTCTAAATAAGTGAGACAATCTCTGAGATGTTATGCTGCCTCCACTTATAGAAAAAAAAAAAAAAAAAAAGTTAAAATTTGTCTTTAATCAGGAATTACTGATTCCTTACTGATTAAATTTCTAAATAAGTGAGACAATCTCTGAGAAGTACCTGGTGCGGGACTTGACACATACTAGGAAGAACAAAAGATTATTTCTTATTCATTCAACACATGTTTACTGAACACCTACTAGGTAAGCCAGACAGTGTTCTAGCCAGTGGTGAACAAAGCTAAGTCCTTCCTCTACAAGTTTGTATTTCTTTCCTGAAGTGTTTATAGATCATAACTACACAAACAGTAGGTAAATCTGTTGACACTTAGAAAATATTATCTGAACTGCCATTTTAGGCTTAGTGCATGTTCAATACTAATAGGTCACTGTATAAGCTATACCCCTAAAGCCTCAATGAAATTCCTCAATTTCTCCACCAGGGACTGTGTCCTGATCAGCCTGCTGAAATGCACACCTTGGCCTCAAGAGGGACTTGAGGAATGAATGAACCCATTACAGTCATTCCCCAGGCCTAGGAATCATCTTAAAGCTATTCAGCTGTTATGGAGCACATAGGTGCTTCACATTAACTGTAAAACATGAAGAATAGGGGAAAATTTTAAGTGTGGTCCTAAAGAAAGAACCTTGATACAGAAAGGACTAGGATGGCCTTGAGAATGACCCCCATTACTTTAAAGCAGTTAGCTAATCTTTCCTTCAAGACTTGGGTAATGGATAAACAATATCCTACTATATAGCACAAGGAACTCTATGCAATATCCTATGATAAACCATAATGGAAAAAAATATTAGAAAAAAGAATGTATATATACATGTAACTGAACCACTTTGCTGTACAGCAGAAATTAACACAACATTGTAAATTAACTATACTTCAATTAAAAAAAAAAAAAAAAAGACTTGGCTAAACACATTATCCTCTGTAAAGCCAGAATGGAACTCCTTAGGTACAATTAGTGAGCCCTTGCTCTGGGTGCATCCATGGCACTTTGTGATGCCATATAATGTGGTCAGCAACATGTCTGTGCCCTCAGGGAAGTACTCGGTGCTCAAAAAAGTTGGAAGAATGGGCTTTCCTGTTTTAAAATAAGGCTAATCTTCTCTAGCTCTAAGTAGAATGATGCTGTGAAGATAAATAAAATGATGTTAAAAAAAATGAAAGACCAGAAAAATTAAACATATAGGTTTCTTACCTTTAAAGATAGGGATCCAGCTAGAAAAAAGTGGTCTATATCAATAACAGAGGCTAAAAATCCAGCTAAAACGATTTCTCCAATGTCAGTCTTCTTCTTGATTCCAATGACTATTGCCCATGACCACATGCCAATCATGCAATGTACTGAATTATCTGAGAGTGCACGAAGCCAGTCATTTTGTTGAATTATGGAAAACTGAAGAAGTCTGTCAGCTACTAGGCAGAATATGCCCAGACCAAGGCTGGAAATAAGAGATTCAGTGCTACAAGACTGGAGTAAAGCATGGGTCTTCTCAGTCTCGGATGCCATCACAAATGGTATGTCAGTATATGCTAAAAGCCATCAGGAAACAAACAGCTTATTCTTGTTTACATTCCCAGTCATCCTAAAATAGAAAGCAGAGAAAATGAAGATTATGGGCTGCCATATTATATATAAACAAAACAATATCGAGACTAATTTTACAAGTATAAAACCAAGTTGTAAAAACTGGTATTTCTTTTTTTCTTTAACTGTTATCAGTAATTTCATTTTATTTTTTCCAGCTTTATTGAGATATAACTGGTACATAGCACTGTGTAAGTTTATCTTACACAACACGATGACTTGATACACATATGTATTGTGAAATGATTACCACAATAAGGTTAGTTAACACATTCATGACTTTACATGGTTACCTTTGTGTGAGTGTGATGAGAACATTTACGATATACTCTCTTAGCAACTTTCGTATTAAAAGAAATGGTATTTCTTGCATTTATATATAATATGCCATGTGGCCCAAAGAGAAGAGATTAGCTTTGTAGGAACAACAGTTTAGATGGTAGCATGTATCAAGGGAAATTTAAGAAATTCCACTGACTAATCTACTACTTTGAGATCATCAAATAGTTCTTTCTTTCAGCAATGTGTACTACACAGGAGTGGGGATCCATTGCGTCTGTGTACCCAGCAACTGCTTTCCATACTTTTTCTGATAACAGCATCCACTTCCTTTGGGAAAACTGCTCATCAAAATACCCAAACTCTGGAGCTGACCAATTAGAATTCCCTGTATCCCTTATTAATAGTAGTGATTAACAAGCAATTACTAATTAGTAATAATTTTATAGTAGTGATTAGTAGTGATTACTCTGTTTATGAAGGTGACCCCAGCTGGGCCAATCAGACTCCTTTCCAGAATTTTTCCTAGTGGAGCTGATGGGGAAAGTTCTTTTTCTTCTTACAGACCATGGACTCCACTACATGGAACAGCCTAGGAAAAAAGAATCATAAGGACATCAAGTCCTCAGGTCCAATCTCTAAGGTTCTCAGAGCTGCCCTGGTTCCTGCAGCTCACCTTTCACCTTCCATGAGCTACCTCAGGATTTTCCCAATAAGTCCCCTTTTCCTTTCTGTTACCTCTAACCAAAGAACCTTAACTGACATAAAAAGGCAATCATAATTCTGAGTGCTTGCCTGGCATAGAATATTGAAATCACTTATCTAGTTAAAGTTATCAACATTGTGTGATACCTGAAGTTTTTGTATTGTTTTGTTTTAGTTCTGAGACTTAAAAAATAACTAAATGGTTTATTGAGAATGATTCAACCTCCATTCTGTAATAAAAACTATGCATAGCTCATTGTATATATTCTAAAATTTATAGGGAAATGCAAAAGACCTACAATAGGAAAACACCTTTAAAAAAGAACTAAGTTGAAGGACTTACACCATCTGATTTCAAGTCTTATTATAAAGCTACAGTAATGAAGAATGTGGTATCGTTATGAAGATGGACAAATATATCAATGCAACAGAATAGAGAGTGGGATCACAAATAGATCCACACATAATGGTCAATTGATTATTTGACAAACATGCGAAGGAAAGTCAATGGAGAAAAGATATTCCTTTCAACAAATGGTGCTGGAACAATTGGATAGCCATAAGCAAAAATAATGAACCTCAATCCATACCTTCCTCCCTATACAAAAATTAACTCAAAATGGATCACAGACCTAAAAGTAAAACAAAACTGTAAAACTTCTGGAAGAAAACACAGGAGAATATTTTTGTCCTTGGGTTATACAAAGAGTTCTTAGTGTCAGTATCAAAAGCTCCATCTGTTTTAAAAAGTTGATACACTGAACTTCATCAAAGTTAAGAACTTCTGCTCTTTGAAAGACAATGTTAAGAGAATGAAAAGACAAGACACAGACTGGGAGAAAATATTTGCATATCTCATATTTGATAAAGGATTTGTACACAGAGCAAAGAATTCTCAAAACATTATAACAGAAAAACAGACTGATACAAAGTTGGGTGAAAGATCTGAAAAGGTACTTTACAACGATGATATACAGGTGGTCAAGAAGCACATGAAATATGTTCAACATCATTCATGATTAGGGAAATGGAAACTAAAACCACAATGAGATTCCAAACATAACTATTAGAACTGCTAAAATTTAAGACTGACCATTCCAAATGTTGACAAGATGTGGAGCAACCAGAACTCTCATACACTGCTGGTGGAAATGTAAAATGATACAACTTTCCAGTTTCTGAAAAAGTTGAACATACTCCTACCATATGACTCAGTCATTCCATTCCTAGGTATTTACCTATGAGAAATGAGAGCAAACATCTGCACAAAGACTTGCACATCAAAGACGTGAACATCAATGCTCATAGCAGCTTTCTTTACATTAGCTCCAAGCTGGAAACAACCCAACTGGATAAACAAAATGTGGAAAAAATGAAATAAAATGAAACCAAAATGTGAATCATACAAAAACATAAATGAACCTTAAAATAACACTAAACCAGACCAAAAAAAAAAAAGATTACATAGTCAAAACCCATAGAACTGTATAACACAAAGAATGAACCCTAATGTAAACTACAGACTTTAGTCAATAATAATGTATCAATATTGGTTCATTAATTGTAACAAATGTGCCACACTCATGCAAAAAGTTAATAGGGAGAAATGTGTGCAGAGGTAGAAGGAATATATGGGAACACTCTCTACTCTGCTCCATTTTTCCGTAAATCTAAAACTAATATATATATTTAAAAAAGTCTATTTTTAAAAAGTAAATAATTGAAGCAAGTATGTGAAAATGTTATAATTGTTAAATTTAGGTAATGGATATACTTTTGTTCATTATACTCCTTTTATGTTTGAAATTTTCATTTAGAAATATTGTTTTAAAAGAGTACATAGTATGATTCCATTTATATACAATTCTAGAAAATACAAACTAATCTAAGTGACAGAAAGCAGATCAGTGGTTGCAATGGAGACCGGAGGGGCAGGAAGGATTAAAAAGGAGCATAAGGAGGGCCTCCCTGGTGGCGCAGTGGTTGAGAGTCCGCCTGCCGATGCAGGGGATACGGGTTCGTGCCCCGGTCCGGGAGGATCCCACATGCCGCGGAGCGGCTGGGCCCGTGAGCCACGGGCGCTGAGCTTGCGCATCCGGCAACGGGAAAGGCCACGACAGTGAGAGGCCCACATATCGCAAAAAAAAAAAAAAAAAAAAAAAAAGGAGCATAAGGAAACTGGAGGGACAGATACGTTCATTATCTTGATTGTGGTTAACAGTTTCACGGTTCATAGTCTCATACCCACATCAAGACATATCAAATCGCACATTTTAAATATGTACAGTTTATTACATGTCAATTATACTCCAATAAAGATGTTAAAAAGTTAGGGAAAACATTTTATTGTCAGTAACAGTAGCAGCCTTTCATGTAAAAGGAGCATCTGATAACAAGAAAGAGATTATGGGGATAAAAAACCTGATGGCCCAAATAAAAGTCAATAGAAGCGATGCATAGTAAAATGAATGCTTCAAAAAACACAATTAGTGAGTAAAAATACTTTCAAAGAATTTCCCCAAAGCTTTAGGGAGAAAAAAAGGACAAAGAGTTGGGCATTGAAAGAAAAAACAAATTCAAAAAATAAAGAGAGTTTTGAAATAGGAAAGTTGGTGCGGCTGCGGGATCCGATTCTGGAGACCCGCTGTTGGCTGGTATCGCCTTGTCTTACAAAATGGTAGAGGACGAACTGGCACTATTCGATAAAAGCATAAATGAATTTTGGAATAAATTCAGAAGCACTGTCAGTGACACCTCCTGTCAGATGGTGGGCCTAAGAGATACCTACAAGGATTCCATTAAAGCATCTGCAGAAAAGCTGGCTGTGAAATTAAAGGAAGACGGGCGAATGGCTGAGATGTTTCTGGAGTATCAAAATCAGATCTGCAGGCAGAATAAGCTCACTAAAGAAAAGAAAGAGAATTTGTTGAAGTTGATTTTGCTGAAGTAAAAGACAAAAAGCAGGAATTGGATGCACTGACTGCAAATATCCAGGATCTTAAGGAAGAATATGCTAGGAAGAGGGAAACTATTTCCACTGCTAACAAATCTAATGAAGAGAGGTTGAAAAGGCTACAGAAATCTGCAGACCTGTATACAGGTCGACTTGGACTAGAAATTAGAAAAATTTATGGTGATAAGTTGCTGTTTATATTCACTAATATCGACCCTAAGCATCCTGAGAGCCCATTTATGTTTTCCCTGAGCCTAAATGAAGCAAGGGACTATGAGGTGTTAGATAGCGCTCCTCATTTTGAGTGCCTAGCAGAATTTCAAGAAAATGTAAGGAAGACCAACAATTTTTTGGCTTTTCTTGCCATGTTCGGAAAGCTTTTACTGCTATTCTTTATAATTAATGTAAAAATAGTATATAAAAACCGTTAAAAAAATAAAAATAAAGAGAAAATCCTTAAGAGTTTCCATGTCCAAAAAAAACATCATCATCAACAACAATGGTGATCTGCAAAAGAAAGAGAATGTGATTAACACCAACACCAAATACTGTGGGACAACAATTACAGAGCTCTGGGAGAACAGGACTATGACAATAGGGTTCTAAACAACTAAATTATGGCCCCTATGTGACAAGTGCAAATTTTAAGATTTTTGCCTTAGAAATTATAACACTTTTATATATGATTTCTGGGGAAAAAAATAAGGAGCAGCACTTCTAAATTTCTAGGAGAAGAAGAGAGGAATACAGAAAGCTTGCTCAATATAGCAAAACAGAAATGGAAAAAAAATGAAGAAAATTTTACTCCCACCCCCACCCACCAAAAAAGGAAACAAACACATCAAACACAAATACTATAATATATGTGAATGTATTACATTTCTCTATAAAGAGACAGATTGGAACAGAAGTAAACATCTCCCAAGTTACTGTTCATAAGAAAACATCTCAAACAAAAAGTCTTAGCAATATAGAAAATAAAGAGATGAGAAAATACATACCTAGAAAACACAAACAAAATTAAGCAGCTGTGGTAATACTACCATCAAACACAATTTATGGCAAAAGACTTAGTGGGACTAAAAGGGATAAAATATTCAAGTCATAGTAAAGTTATATAAGAAGATGCTTACATGTCAAATCGTGCTTACATGAATTAGGTCAAGTAGCAAAAAACAAGATATAGATAGTCTGAATAATTTAATTACAAATTTTATTTCATATACAGGTCTAAAACTGTGTATATTACATAGAATATACATTATTTCCAAATGTCTCTGGCTCATTTATAAAATTTAATTACACATTTACTCATCCACAAGAAAAACTTCAACAAAGTCTAAAAAGTGGAAATGTTCAGGCCAAATTCTCTGACCACAATGCAATATATAATTCATCACTTTTAAACTGCTTAAAAGAAAAACAGTGACCTAATTAGCTCGAAGAAACTAAGCTTAAATGGTGGTGCAAATAATTCTGTTAGAGCCAAAAGACTTGCTTACTTTTCAAGTGTTTATGCTCTGTAAACATTTCAGGAAAGAAAACAAAAGCTCAGAGAGCAGACTTTGTCTATCTGTTCACCACTATCTTTTAGCACACAGTGGATGCTCAACAAGTATTTATTGAATGAATTAAATAAAAATCATCATACACTGTATCTGTTATCCACCAGGTATTGCCTATTAAATGATTAAATGGCATTTAGTAAAATGTAGCATGTGTTCCTGGAAATCTCCATTTTTAGCAAGTGCGAATACCAGGTAATTCTTATGTTCACTAAACATTAAGAACTGCTAGGTTATAAGAAACCAGAATGAATGAAAACCAAGAAACATTACCTTTAAAGTAAAAAACAGTACAGCTATTATAATATTGTTCTGGCAGTTTTAATCAATGTAATGAGGCAAGGAAGGGATAGAGGGAGGGAGAGAGAAAATGTATCATTACCTTATCAGGAAGAAAACAATTACATTAGTTTGTAAGTGAAATGACTGCCTATCCAAGAGAATAAATTGAAAATTGTTAGAATTTAAGTTGCAAAAGGCAGCTAATTCAAGATAAATTATTAATATACCAGCAATAATTGTAAGGGGAAAATACAGGAAAATGAACGTTCACAACAGCAATAAAAATTCAAATATCAAGGAATAAACTAAACAGGTAATGCATGTGAAGAAAATGTCAAAACTGTACTTTATCAATCAGCTATGTAGAGCTCTGTGCCATTTAGAGCTTGTGCTATGTTAACGCATCTAAGTTGGAAGGACATTTCGAGAATCCCCTTCCTTTTATAGTTCTTTGTAGTGCTGGCTACATGAGACACTGTACATGGGACTTGGAAGGCAGAAGTGAAGCAACAGCCACACTTTTTAACTCTAAAGGTTGGTGCTGGACGCACCACAGAGCTCGCACGTCTTGCTGCTGATCTGTCAGCTCACTTTGCTGGCATGAGCAAGCAGCTAGGCCTGCAGCTCCTTCAGCCTTCACCATATCTTCCTTCAGCTTCTCCAAATCCTGGGCCTGCATGTGCAGCCCCAAGGTCAAGAGTGCCAGCCTCTCCTGCAGGTCACCCCCAGCATCAAAACTGGATTTGGTGAGAGGCCAGTGCAGGTTCCATTCTGTCCTTGTTCTCATCCACATCTACCTTCCCCTCCCGACTTGCTGCAGCTTCAGGTTCAAAAACAGACTCAGAGGCAACGGCCTGCAGCGCCTGCCCTCCGAGCCCCACGATTACGCAGGTCTAAACGTCTTATCCCTTAGCACGCAGAGTAGTTCTGTTCCTTTGATGGAACTTTACTGATACAAGAGCCAGACCATTTTACTAAGGAATAAGACAACATGGATGGTATTATCCTCCTCAGATTAATCTATAAATTTAATGTAACTCATCAAAATCATAAAGGGGATTTTCTTTTAGCAACTTCACAAAACATTTTCAGATTGGCATTCGACAGAGTAAATGCCAATAAACTTGCAAAAGCAGAGTAATATGAATACTGAAAGGTAAATGCAAAGTCTGAGACAGGTCAAGTGTGTGTTTGGGGAAGGCGGAAATGTATGTATAATTCCAAACTGGTAAGGAACAATTATTTCACTCAGATCCTGTGTCAGTTAGGGTTCTTAAGTGCACGGAAGAAAAAGGACTCTAAGTAAAAGCAAAAACCATTAAAAGGATATTGGGAAATCACAGACTTGCCAGGTTTCAAGAACCAGGCTTCAAACTCTGCCTCAAGCACCTCAGTGAAAATGACACCAGACACCTGTGGTGAAGACCTCTCTGCCCCTGAGCCCAGCTTACACTGCCTGACCCATCACCAGATATTATCATTGGCATTGCTGCTAGTACTGCCCTATCTGCTGCTGTCATAAAAGATTCTTGGCATATTTGTTTCTTTGCTCTCAAAATTTGGAGTTGGGGGCTTCCCTGGTGGCACAGTGGTTGGGAGTCCGCCTGCCGATGCAGGGAACACGGGTTCGTGCCCCGGTCCGGGAAGATCCCACATGCCGCGGAGTGGCTGGGCCCGTGAGCCATGGCCGCTGGGCCTGCGCGTCCGGAGCCTGTGCTCCGCAACGGGAGAGGCCACAACAGTGAGAGGCCCAACCACAATGAGATGTGACTTCACATCCAGTAGGATGGCTATACTCAAAAGACAGACAATAACAAATGTTGAGAGGATAAGGGGAAGTTAGAATCCTCATAAATTGCTGGTGGGAATGTAACATGGTGCAGCCACATTGGGAGACAATTTTGCAGGACCTCAAAAAGTTAAACAGAGAGTTATCTGATGACCCAGCACTCCTAGGTATATACCCAAGATAAATGAAAACATATGTCCACACATAAATCTGTACCTGAATGTTCATAGCAGCATTACTAATAATAACCCAAACATAGAAACAACCTAATTGTCCACTGACTGATGAACGAATAAATAAAATGTAGTGTATCCATACAATGGCCCAAAAAAAAAAAAAAAAAAAAAAAAAAAATACTGATAGACATGACTATATAAAAATGTAGACTTCTGCATGTCAAAATTAAAGGCTAATAAATGGAGGAAATTTTGAACATTTATGATGGAGAAAGATTAGAAGCCCTACTTTACTAAGGGCTTTTAAAACTAACAAGAAGAAAAAATACGTATCCCAATAATAACATGGCAATATCTACGAAAAGGCAATTTGGAAAGGGAATAAATACAAACGGTCAAAGAAAACTATGAAAAGATTTCAACTTTATTTGTAATCAATTGAATTTAAAACAATGAGATTTCAACCTAAGATCGATGAAAGATTGCTAATGATTTGTTTGTGGCAGGGAAACAATCATTGAGTATTAGCAGTTGTGTAAATTGGTATAACTCTTCTAGCAGACAGTTTCACAATATGTATCAAAAATGATTAATAAATGAGCAAACACTTGACTCCGGATTTCCAATTCTAGGAAATTATCCTAAGAAATTAATTAGGTAAATACAAAGAGTTACACATGGATGTTCAGCACAGCATTGTTTATAATAAGGAAAAATTAGAAACTATGTGTCCAAAATACAGGGCTAGTGAAATAAATTCCATACAATTATGCAGTCATTAAAAAAATACTTATTCCCATATTTGTTGACATAGGAAATGCTCAATAGATATTAGAATTTAAAAGGTAGCCTAAAAATAATATGTAAAATATTACATTTTTGTTAAAAATATGTACATATGCATAAAAAATCTGGAAGGCTGTTCATTTGGCTTGTCTCTCACTGGTGGGCTTACATGTTATGATTACTCTTTTTCCCTTTTCTTTCATTTCATAAAATTTTTTAATGTATTACTATCATAAAAACAAAACCAATAAAGCTCCTTTGGAAAGTTAGAATAACTCAGACCATGATGCTAAACTCAGCTTCTTAAAAGCATAATTTTTAAAAATGTAGAAACATATTTATAACGTTATAAATATTAATAAAATATTAGAATATATAACATTAATAAACAATAAAATTGTATGCAAATCTCACAAGTCAAATTTATAGTATAATATAAAAATAATGTATTTACATTTATGTATTAGTTGGTACATGAAAAGCCTGTATGAAAGATTTCTGTATCTCCAGATGAAATAAACGTATGCAGGTTCCTTTAAGTTTTTTTATTAGTGTGAAGAATACTTGCTTTGCAGAGAACAACTATTTTGTTAATGACAATGGAATCTAAAACCATCCTCAAATTCTTAGTCATTTGGAAAAATGAAAATTGTTCTCTAAAGCACTAAGATTGAGTTATAGTCTACAGATTCTTCCAGGATTAGGAAATAATGATTTCAAGATACTTTCAACCAAGAGATATGACCAAAATGCAAAAGAAACCTCCAAGGTCATGAATCCTTTCATATACCTTAGGATTTATAGTTCCACACATCATGATCAGGTCTCTGCTTTGCAAAGTAAACATCTGACACCTGAATGGATAAAGTCAATGTGTTTAAAGGCTCAGTGCATATAATTTTAAAGTTTATAAAATATTCCTTTGAACCAAAGATAATATCATTATCCACTTAGCTGGATGGGAACTGGGACACAGAAAGCTTAAATTAATGACCAAGCCAGAGAGGTATAGCCCGCAGAGCAATATCCCCCTCCTTCGGTAAGCCGTGGCCTGTAAATTAACCCTAAGAAGAAAGAAGGCCAGTCAGGTGGATGAGTTGTGAGGAGAACATAGGCTGGGCACAGTATACACAGAGGCCTAACAGAAAAGCTCTTCTGCCGCTCAAACTACGCTTCTATATGCATTTAATTGCAAATTTATTGTCAAGTCTCATCCTAGAAAGCAGACAAAAGGTCATTATACACCTAATTGCAAATTGTATGATGTCTCTATAAAGCCATTTCATTACATCCATCTTCTTTTACTCACTAAACAATTTTTGTCATCACTAAATATATTTAAATGTACTCACCTAATGTTTTACTCGATGAGTTCAGATACAAAAAAGGATCGAGTAGCTAATGAAGTGTCACGAGCAAAGTGAAACATGAAAAGATCACTTAAAGTATTTAAATGATGATCCAAATTAAAAGCGATGTGAAAAAGAAAAACTTACTGTTTTCCAAATGTCTATATACTGTAGTAGTCTATGAATAGGAAAAGATACACATAATGGGGCAGCACAAAATGCATTTTAAATGGAAAGTTTAAACAGCTTGCTTGATGAGAGAGGAACAAAAAGCTCACCTGAGCGAACTCAGAGGCAGATCCTTTCAGGCCTAGTCAAGCCTACAGATGCCTGCAGCACTGCCAACATCTGGACTACAACTTCATGAGACCCTGAGCAGAACCATCCAGCTAAGCCTCTTCCAAAAGTTCTGGCCCAAAGGTACAGTGAGATAATAACTGTTTACTGTTTTAAGCCTCTAAGTTTCGGGGTAGAGTAATTTGTTATGCAGCATGGATAGCTAAAACAGTAGCTTCTCTTTTCAAGAAAGGTATAATTACGGTCCCAGAAACACACAGTTCCGACACCTATTCCACTCCAACTACTGGTGCAGATATTTAGAGTAGATTCTGAGTATGAGAAAGTAATTTAGTAGTTGTACTTCCTCTTATTTATTGTCTCTGACTAGAACACCTAAGTGTCCCATTTTTCTTCTCTCTGCTTCCTTTTTCCACTTCCTGCTCCTCCCGCATAAACAGAATGGACTCCAGAACCTCTTAAACTGTAAAATATCTTTATTTTACATATTCACTTTTGTTGGGTAAGTTCATTAATAGCAGTAATTATAATTTTCTTAAACTTGTCATGCATAAAGTTAATGTGCTCAAGGTGTTTAATATTTCATTATACTAATACAGGGGGTAAGCAGGTTAGCAATCCTCAGCCTGTGAACTGAAGATATTATTTGGAATCATTTCTGCCATAACAGCCAGTTACCCAGATCATAAATGTCTCTCTATGACTTGCGGGAGCCATTTTCGGCAATGGCCAAACTCTGCCACGCACCATTCCCATAAGAGTACTATGCCATCAACTATGGGGTCTTCAAAGTATACCTAGTAGTAATCCTCCCTTTCCTTAACTCGACAAACACATACTTAGCCAGTTACTTTACACACTGTTGTGCATTGTTTGTTAATAATCTCTGACGTTATTCCTACCAAAAAAATAAGAGGTAGCAAATTCCCAACAGAAATGTCCTTTTCTGCTTCACCCCTTCTCCCCCCGCAAACCCCATCACAAATATTTACAAAAACCTGAGGAAAAAGCACCGTCTAGAATCTGAAAACTGCCTTTATTATGCTTTACAAATAAGTCCTCTTCAATGAACTGTAGTTGCTGTGAAACAACTACAGTTGTAGTTCTTTTTACTTTCTTTAATGCTATAGTACTCAAAGCAGATGCCAAATCTAATTCAGCTAATTTGCAAAGAAAGGAAACACAAATCTTGCTCACTTTTACGGATACTCTGCGTAACCTGCATATAAAATGTTTCTTTCCTATGACCATTACAAATACATACGATTCTGAATTTCAACAGTCTTAGCAAATTCCCAGTCATTCTTTCCTAAGGTTGGCATGATTCAATAATTTTTAAAATGTCGATTAAGAAAATAGGTGGAAAGCCCTGGCGTCTGCAGGGAAGGGAACAAGTTACAATCTCCACAATCACGCCTCCCGGGAGCCTGGGCGCCTTAAGGGCCCTCGTGGCTGGTAAGGTGGCAATGGGCAACTCTGGCAAGATCGCCGGCAACCCGCCCAGAGCCAGGGAAACGCCAGGGGCGCGAAGCCTAGGCGAGGGCTTGACGCCCATGGGATCTATAAGGCGCGACGAAGCAGGAGGGCCATGCAGGGATCGCGCAGATCCCGGAGACACCGGCCAGTGTCTGTCGAGCACACCCCGCCTGCTCTCGGGTCCCACGCGACTGCCGCCCCTCCACGCCTTCCCCATCGGGAACCTGGATCTTCTAGACTTCAGGTTCAGGCGGTCCCCGCCTCCGGCCTGCCACCTCAGGACGCAGTTTCGCGGCGTCCATACAGTTCCCGCCCCCCCGCCCGGTCCCTCGCGAGGATCAGCCACACCCACCGTCTGCTCCCCCAGCTGAAACAAGCCAGCCGCGCGAACGGCGGCTCCGCCCCTCTACACCCGCTTCCGTCGGTACCATAGAGACGTCGGCCGCGGGCCTGAGCGGCTCCAGCCCGCGACGCAGGCCGAGAGGACGCCGGGATACTAGTTCCACTCTAAGCGGCCAGGAACGCGGCTTGAGGGCTCTTAAGCCGAGCGGTTGGGTACCTCGAGTTCCCCTACCGTCGGGCTCCCCAAAAGGACACATTTGGGACGACGGGTGGGAAGTGAAAAGTGCCTTGTTGGTTCCTCTCTCTCGACCCTGAGGATTCATTCTTGGCTTAGCCGGCGCCGTCCACAGCGCACCCACGCGGCGGCGGGAAGCCGGGGACGCGAATTAACCTCACCGAATATGGGACGCGCGGGCTTCTGCCCAGAGGTGCCGCCGGCTGCCCCGGAGATGTAGAGATGTTTCCGACTTCCTGCATGGGATCCTTTAGGTTGGGCGTAGGAGAGAGTTTTTCACTCCGCAAGACCGGGCGACTTTGCGGACCTGACGCTCCTCTGTGGCGCTCCACCGCCCCCTTGGGGAGATCTTGATAATTACTCTTTGGCGCTATGCGGTATACGTTAGGGGCAGCTTTCTCTTGTGGACAGCAGTGAGAAGGCTAGAACGCTTAATCATGACTACTGAATGCCCAAGAGTAGAAAAAAGAGACAACATAAAGGGTGGCTTGACTCTGATTAACTGGACTGACAAGGTGCAGCTTGTTTAGTGGGTCTGTGGCCAGTTCCCATCCCGACTCCCTGCCTCGGAGTGGTGGCTGCTTTGTGAGCACCAAGGAGACATCGAGCTTGACATGTGGCTTCTAGTAAGCACTGGGCGAAAAGCGGGGGCTCAAAGAGGAAAATTTCTTTCTCCTTCCTACCTGGTTTCTCAAAACAAGTGTTGGCTGTAATGCAGGGGCGGCAATGGGATTATATTAAGTACATAGTTGAAGGAGACCATAGAGAATCCGAATCTTCAATCTCAAGCAAACTTCTAGGTCTTTCACGGAACCTTAAAGTGTGGCTGAGTTTCTGTTACAGAACTTTTCATTGCTTGTCACACTCTTGGTTCTTAGCCAACGGGAAAGACTCAACTGAGGGAGGAAATTATACATATTTTACCTGCACAGCTTAAAAGCTTATTAAAAATATTACTGAACACATTAACCACAATATTGGGTGCTTTTAGTCATGTTAAGAACAAATATTTTCTGTCTGAATGCAGTAACAGTTTGGCATTACCAATATGGCAGCATGGGTGCATTTCTTATAGTCTAGGCTTTCTAGAGTTATTTAGGGACAACATAGGTGGTTTCCTGCAACCAGAACAGAACTTAGTTATTTTCTCTGTGGGCAGTCTGCTGCCCAAAGGGACTATTACACAATACATCCTGAGTGCTCTCAATATGCCAGGCACTATGCTTGGTAATAAGACTATAAAATAACTTTATGGAGCTCAAGTTCTAGTGGAGGATATAGACCACAAAGAAGTTGAATGACTGAAATATGTGCTCTAAAGGAAGTAAACATGGTGATGTAATAGTAACTGGGGGAGGCCCCTCTGAGGCAGGGATATTTGTGCTGAGACCTGAAGGTGGCAGGGAGCCCATTGTGAGCTAAAGAGAGCATTGTGCCCATTCAAATTGCTTACATTACCTCTCCTAACCTACGACACTCTGCTTGCTTTGCTCTCTATTTTTCTCGTTGTTTCCTCTGTTGCTTCTTCTCTTTTATGTGAAGAGACTGGTCTTTTCAAGAAATCATAAGTTAATTTGAACATTTCTGATTATGTCTGGTATAATCTTGAAGTCTTTTTAGATGTATGGTTTTGTTCTTTCCCAAGAGACAGGTGTAATACATAGCACTTTTGGTGAGCTCATTCCTCTTTTGGTTTCATACACTTTGTAGCATAAATCTTTGGAGATGTTCAAAACAAATGAAAATATCTGATACATGAGATAGTCCAGATAAAATTTAGTCTTAGCTAAAGTGCTCGATTCTTAGCTTGAAGCAATATTGCCCACATTAAGGTTTTTCGTTTTGTTTTTTAAGATCTAATTCTCATTTCATGGTTCTACTGAAAAATACTTGGAGTAGAAAGACTAAATAGCAAATGATCAATGTACACAATTCTGCATAAGTACAATGAAAGAAACTTGATTAATAGTGAATGCTCCACAAGACAAAACAGCAACAACTACAGTTTTATAAAATTTTTTCTCAAATCTGAGATAAATTGTTCAAATTTTTAAAATAGCTCTTTATTAATAAAATACATATTTTAAAATTTACAAGTTAGGTAAAATACCTCCAAAGTTAAATGTCATTTCTCATAAAATCATTGTACAGAAGTCATATATAATTTCTTGGCTTCCTAGTAATTTTCTACCAGTCACTTGAAATAACATCCTCAAAGTTTAATAATATATTGTAATAATTCCATATTTCACCTTTTAGAGTTTGATAGAAGACAGTCAATATCCTGAAGGATTTCAGAGGTTTTTTTCAACGCCACGGATACACTCTTTTCATTAACTTCTTTTAGCAAGGTTTCTGAAGATTTTGGTTTACAATGATCCAAAGACTGTTCATTTTTCTTGTTAGAAATCTGGCTTAGGACACCACTGTTCTCCAGTAATACTAAGTTGCTTAGTTAAGGAGCTTTTTCCCCGTATTTTTCATTATAATTGTTTTTAATTCAGAAAGCCTAGCCTTCATATTAAAATATTATTTCTCCATTGGGAGGAAGATCTCTTGGATTCATAATAGAGTTGGGACTTCAGAATTTATCAAGTCTATCCCTTATAAATGAAGAAACTAGTTAAGACTATAAGAGGGGGAAAGGAAAAGAGAGTATGTATGTCTGTATTTGGATGGAAGTTTGGTGACAGGGAGGAAATAAAAGAATTAAAACCTCAGTTAACATTTCTTTAAATGAAGAAGTGATATGGGAATAAAAGGGAACCAAAGTAGGGGTGAGAGGAATACAAACAATCTGTGTAGGGTATTTTTAACTTAAAACATCTAGAGTGAAAAGAATCTGTCCTCTGTTGCAGAGCTACTTTATTATTTGAATAGGATTATGGAGAAATAACAGGATAAAAGGAATTTAGATGAGTGGGATAGGAATGTACGAACAAAAGGCTTAATAAGAAAAAGAAGAGTCCAGTCCAAGCTGGTGATGTAGGAGGTTCCTGAACTCACCTCTTCCCACAAATGTGACACTGAATCTACAGCTACACACGGAGAAATTCTCGCTGTCAGAAATCCAGGAACTACCCGAGTGACTCCTGTACACTGAGTGAATAAGACTATATCCACAATTAAATGGGTAAGAAAGGTTGAGACACACTTTCACTATAAACCCCACCCTTAGCACAATATGGGGGAACTCACAATTCCCAGCTTCTCCCTGCGGAGTAAACAGTTTGCCCCAAGATCTAATGCTCCAACTTTTAAGACTTCTAAGTGTGGGACAGGCCCCTAAAACTCCTAGTTCTGAGCAGACAGAAACACCCATCTCCCAGTCTTTCCCTCAAAGAGGGCTATTTGCATACTTCAAAAGCTGCTACCTGAGGTATGCCTATTTGCATGTTTTAAAAGCTTCTAATTTAGCACGTGTCTAGGGGCTGAATGTGATCCTCCCTGGAGACTCAGGAGGCTGGCAGATGGTATCTCCACATTCTTTCTCTGGCCTACTCAAGGTTGCTGCTATCTCCCTGGAAGGAGCTTATACACAAAAGAAAATGTCAGTGAAATAAAGAGCTGGGTTTTTTTTGCAAAGATAAAATAGACAAACCTTTAGCTAGACTTATCAGAAAAAAGAAAACTCAAATAAAATTAGAAATGAAAGAAGAGAAATCACAACCAATACCACACAATACAAAAGATCATAAGAGACTACTATGAACAATTATAGGCCAAGATATTGGACAACCTAAAAGAAATGGATAGATTCCTAGAAACATACTGAATCCAGGCTGGTTACTAGTAAGGAAATTGAATCAGTAATCAAATACCTCCCAACACAAATGGTTTCATTGGTGAATTCTACTAAATATTTAAACAAGAATTAATACCAATCCTTCTCAAACTCTTCCAAAAAATGGAAGAGGAGAGAATATACTTCAAAACTAATTTTACGAGGCCACGGTTACCCTGACAACCAGAACCAGATAAAGACACTACAAGAAAATTACAGGCCAGTATCTCTGATTAACATAGATGCAAAAGTCCTCAAAAAAACATTAGCAAACCAAATTCAACAATATATTAAAATGGTCATACACCATGATCAAGTGGGATTTATTCCAGGGATACAAGGATGGTTAAACATATGAAAATTAATGTGGTACACCACATTAACAAAATGAAGGATAGAAATCATATGTCAATAGATGCAGAAAAACACTCAACAAACTGGGTATAGAGGGAACGTACCTGAACATAATAAAGGCTATATACGATTAGCCCACAGCTAATATCATATTCAACAGTGAAAAGCTGAAAGCTTTTCTTCTAAAATAAGAAATAAGACAGTAATGCTCACTCTCAACCCCTTTTATTCAATATAGTACTGGAAGTCCCAGCCAGAGCAATTAGACAAAAAAAAAAAAAGAAGAAGAAATAAAAGGCATACAAATCAGAAGGGAAGAAGTAAAGCTGTCTCTATTTGCAGATGATATGATATTATATATAGACTTTGCTAAAGTCTCCACCAAAAACCTGGTAGAATAAACAAATTTAGTAAAGTTGCAGGATACAAAATCAATATAAAAAAATAAGCTGCATTTCTATACATTAATAATGAATTACCTGGGCTTCCCTGGTGGCGCAGTGGTTAAGAATCTGCCTGCCAATGCAGGGTACATGGGTTTGAGCCCTGGTTCGGGAAGATCTCACATGCCGTGGAGAAACTAAGCCCGTGTACCACAACTACTGAGCCTGAGCTCTAGAGCCCATGAACCACAACTACTGAGTGCATGTGCCACAACTACTGAAGCCTGCGTGCCTAGAGCCCATGCTCTGCAACAAGAGAAGCCACTACAGTGAGAAGCTGCACACCGCAACAAAGAGCAGCCCCCGCTTGACACAGCTAGAGAAAGCCTGTGCACAGCAACGAAGACCCAACACAGCCAGAAATAAAAATAAAATAAATTTATAAAAATAAATAATGAATTATCAGGAAAAGAAATTAGGAAAACAATTCCATTTACAATTACATAAAAAAAAAATACCTAGGAATAAATTTAAGCAAAAAGGTGAAAGATCTGTACATTGAAAACTATAAGACATTAGATGAAACAGAATAAGACACAAATAAATGGAAAGATATTCTGTACTCATGAACTGGAAGAATTAATATTGTTAAAATGTCCATACTACGCAAAGCAATCTACAGATTCAATACAATATTCAATGTATTGAACAATACAAAATTCTAATGGCATTTTTCACAGAAATAGAACAAACAGTACTGAAATTTGTATGGAACCAAAAAATACCTCAAATAGCCAAAGCAAACTTGAGAAAGAAGAACAACACTGGAAGTTTTCTGATTTCAAACTACAGTAATCAAAACAGTATGACATTGGCAAAAACCAGAAATACAGATCAATGGAACAGAATAAAGAGTCCAGAAATAAAGTCACGTATGTCTGTAATGGTCAATTAATTTACAACAAACAGTCAAAAATATACAATGGAGAAAGGATAGACTCTTCAATAAACGACGTTGGGAAAACTGGACCTCTACCTTACACCATACACAAAAACCAACTCAAAATGGATTAAAGACTTGAATGTAAGACCTGAGACCATAAAACCCCTAGAAGAAAACATAGGGTGTAATAAACTCCTTGACATCAGTCTTGGCAATGACTTTTTGACACCAAAAGCAAAGAAAACAAAAGCAAAAATAAACAAGCAGTACTTGTCAAACTAAAAAGCTTTTGCACAGCAAAGGACACCTTCAACAAAATGAAAAGGCAACCTATGGAATGGAAGAAAATATTGCAAATTATATTTCTGATAAGAGGTTAATATCCAAGATATTCAAACAACTCATACAACTCAATAGCAAAAAAAAAAAAAAAATTAAAAAATGAGCAGAGGAACTGAATAGGTACTTTTCCAAAGACATACAGATGGCCAACAGGTACATGAAAAGGTGCTCAACATCACTAATCATCATGGGAAATGCAAATCAAAACCAATGAGATATCACCTCACACCTGTTAGAATGGCTATCATCAAAAAGATAAGACATAACAAGTGTTGGTAAGGATATGGAGAAAAGAGAACCCTTGTGTACCTTGGTAGAAATATAAATTAGTACAGCCACTGTGGAAAACAATATGGAAGTTTCCTCAAAAAATTACAAATAGAACTACCATATGATCCAGCAATCTTATTTCTGGGTATATATCCAAAAGAAAGGAAAACAGTCGGGGCTTCCCTGGTGGCGCAGTGGTTGAGAGTCCACCTGCCGATGCAGGGGACACAGGTTTGCATCCTGGTCTGGGAAGATCCCACATGCCGCGGAGCAGCTGGGCCCGTGAGCCATGGCCGCTGAGCCTGCGTGTCTGGAGCCTGTGTTCCGCAACGGGAGAGGCCACAACAGTGAGAGGCCCACGTACCGCAAAAAAAAAAAAAAAGAAATGAAAACAGTCTATTGAAGAGATAGCTGTACTCTTATGTTCACTGCAGCATTTTTCACAATAGCCAAGATATGGAGACAACCTAAGTGTCCACTTTTGGATGAATGGATAAAGAAGATGTGGTACATATACATACACATAATGGAATACTACTCAGCCATGAGAAAGAAGGAAATTCTGACATTTGCAACAACACGGATGGACCTTGAGGGCATTTTGCTAAGTCAACTAAGCTAGACAGAGAAAGACAAATACATGGTGTCACTCATATGTGGAATTTTTTAAAAAGTCAAACTCATGGAAACAGAATGTAGACTGGTAGTTGCCAGGGGCTGGGGGTGGGGAAAGAGGGAGAGGTTGGGAAAAGCATATGAACTTTCAGCTATAAGATGAATAAGGTCTGAGGATCTAATGTATAACATGGTGACTGTAGCTGATAACACTGTGTTGTATGACTGAGATTTGTTGGGAGGGTGGAAATCAGATGTTCTCACCACCACCTCCCCCGGGAGGGGTGGTGAGATAGAGGAGAGGAGGAAGATAGATATGTGAAGTGATATATGTGTTAATTAACAAGATAGGGTGATCCTTTCACAATGTGTATGTGTGTCAGGTCACTATGATATACTATTTAAGTATCTTATAATTTTTTCAATTACACCTCAATAAAGCTGAAATTTTTTACAAATAATAGTATATAAAAATCCTACAAATTTAAAAAAAGAAAGAAGTCAGAGATAGTTCTCAGTTATAATTTAGAATATAATTATATAAGTGTGAAAGTCTCCATAGGATATCTTAACCCCAGTTCACTGTCCTTTGCTGAGTTAAACCCAATGAAAAGTACAAATGCTAACATGATGTACCTCCTATAGACAAGATACATCTTAAATTACAATCTTAAATATTATTCAATAAAGCTCTGTAATATATAAGTATGGATTAATATAAAGTACAGAGTCATGAATTAAGCCTACAATGGAAAGGGAGAAATTATGCAGGACAATACATTCTGTTTAAAGGATACAGTTAAACTTCTGTATCTTTTCAAGTTCAGAAGCCACAGACCTGTGGAAAAAAAAAACCTCATGCTAGTTGTCTGATTCTTTTTTATCCACAATATTTCAAATAAGCATACTTAACTTTTTTTCATAAAGGTTAGAATTTTTGACATAAGAACCTAGAGGTTAAGAATTCTCTTTATACTGGCTTTATTTAGCAACAAATCACCATGACTCAACTGATGCTTACTGAATGCCTTTCATGAGTAAGGCAAGTGAATAAAAGTCCTCCACCTCCAGGACTTTTGAATTAAGTATTGAGGTTTGAAGGTAATGAGTCTTCCTGCTACAACTCAGTACTGACGTGGCATATCTTCTACTTTCCTCCTCAAGGTTTACTAAAACTTTAAAAACCTACTAAAATCTCATCACTTCTATGAAAGAAATACTCTCTCCTTTGAATTCCTACAGCAGTGTGTTAATTAATCATAAACTTCTTTGTAATGCTTTCTCTTGAACTATTTAATTTTCTGATCTTCATACCTAGATAGTTTCTTTGGAGGAGAAGGGATCTTACACATATAGTTAAGACCTCATTTATATGGAACTCTTAGGGAATGGATGGTCTCCAGGGCCAACTTTTTATACGACTGAATTAGGTGTCAAAACATAATAACTACTTTCTATTAAATTTCTTCTGGAATAGACTACCATTTCATTGTTTTCTTAAGCACAGTATACTAAACATTCTCTTCTTGACTTGAAGGGTTAATATATGAACATTAGCCCTTACCATGTTCCACAGAAACAGATATCGGGGCAACTGGTGTAGGATAGAAGGCTAAATGTACACAAATCCAGAAGAACCTCTTATGTGTGTGTTCTTTGTGTTTTCCCTCATCACTAGATGAAATATGAGCAGTGGCACACAACTAGAAAATAGTGTAACTGGACTAGCTCTGCAAAATTAATGAGGACATTCATGCTAAAACATCTCTTTATTCAAGTCACTAGAAAAGTCTTTTCACAGCTCACAATAGGGTATACGACTTGTCTGCTTTACTGGCAGACAATGGACCATACACAATGGACCACATGCACCTCATCAGCCTGCTCTCTTTCCTTGTACTCCAGCCTATGAACAGAGAATAAAAGAGATCTTTCATCATTTTAAGCATCTGTAGTAAAAACCTGGATGTGACTTACTCCAAAACCCGCCAACTCTTCATCATTGCAAAACACACTCCCCCCGCCTTTTTTAAACATGAGACACATTTTCTGGGTACACCCAGAACCATACAAACTACCTTTAATGCTGTCACTCATATGATAAACCAACGTCTTATGAAATATCTCCTGTACTATTTTTTGACAGGCATGCCTATTAAAAAGTTGAACGAGTAAGCTAATAATATAAGGTGAGTTGGAAATAAAATATTGAAATACAATTTAGGTAGCTGTATATTATGTTTATAGCTGAAATACAATTTAGGTAGCTGTTTATTATGTGATCTCTTCTCTCCCTTCAACCTATCCACTTTGACAAGAAAACAAGAATCATCTGATTCTTGTGGAGATGTCTTAGGCTTTGGGAGGGGAATGGAGCTGTTCAAGTGCTGTATCTCCCCTCCCCACTCCTCAATTCCTTTGTCTCCCCTCCGCTCCGCATTGCTTCCACCCATAGCTGCTTTCACCAATCTGTACTTCTCTTACCCCCTCACTTCTCAGTTTGTCTTGACAGTTATCCTCTTCTAAGCTTTCATATAAAAAGGCTAGCATTTTACAAACTTTGCCAGCTGAGCAATGATGAAGTAACCAATTTTATAGCCATGTACAATTTCCCTTTCTTCCCAACTATGTTTTTTGCTAGCTATTAAGGCAACTTTTCTGCTCCCAAATTGTAGCTGAAGAGAGAGACCTGGAAAGCTGAATCCTTAAGATATCTGGATATTCAAATAGCATCTACTGATTTGATTGTACCTCTTTCTCTAAGTAACTTAGGAAAAGGTGATAAGAATCAAGCTTATTGTTTATATATTTTTTCACCATGCACCATGCACTAAGACACCTTACAGCTTACTTTATTCTTTTTATTTATTTATTTGGCTGTGCCAGGTCTTAGTTGTGGCATGCAGGATCTTTAGTTGCAGCATGTGGGCTCTTAGTTACGGCATGTGGGATCTAGTTCCCTGACCAGGGATCCAATCTGGGCCCCCTGCATTGAGAGTTCGGAGTCTTAACAGCTGGACCACCAGGTAAGTCCTCTTACAACTTACTTTAATTTAAAGCTTCCTAAATTGTTCCTGATATCCTTCTTTTCCAATATAATCAGATTATACTCTTGCAGTGACACTAACCTTCCTAAGGCTCTTTCTTCCTGTCATTTTTCCATATAGGAACTTGTAATTCTATGAAGTCTGAATTCCTCTATTGATTACAAGGTCTATTCCTATCCATCAAAGTCACACTACACCCAAGCAGGTGTCTGCTCCATAAAAACTAACTTCTTACTATCTCCACAAGCTAAAATACCCTTTTTTACCTCTGCCCTTGCTTCCTCCCTAAAATGTCTTAATTTCCCTAAATATTCCTTCAGAGCCCAGTTCTAGTACCCTACACACTGAAAGGCACACAGGAGGGACTGAAATCTTGCTTTATTTGTTGATTTATCAATTAATTTGGGGGAGGCAATTAATATAATAGAAATTATTTAAAAATCAGCTTTTTCTGAAAGCTTGTTATGTTAATCGACATTTTATGTCCTTTAATATTACTAAGGTTAAAAAATATATATCCTCTAAATTTTTCCATAAAGTTTTCAGGATGAATTTATTACACTAAAGGAGTCACCCATTTTGATATGAAGTTTTCAAATCTTCAGATGAAATATACTATGATGAAATGTAATAAATGAGATATCCAATTAAAGATAAATTATTTTCAAGATTTAAGCTATCAAAACACCATAGGAGTTAAATATATTTAACTAAGAGAAAGTTTTTTTGGGAAAAAGCATCAGTTTACCTTTTAACATTTTAATTTTTGAGGATTACTTGGCTCTTCTACACAGATTAAGTTTAAAATAAATACAAATACCAGTTTTCTTCCGAAACAGGAGATGAAGGATGTATAGGCATTTCTTTCTGACTAGTCTGGGTCAGTCTTCTGCACCATGATATTACTGTTGTCACATATCTAGATTGAATACATTAAGACAGATATTTGAAAAATGAATTTGTAGAATATTTATAAAAGCATTTAAAAATTGGAAAAATCGTTAAGATGGTTTGGGAAAAAAGAATAAAGAAAAAATTCTAAAGTAGGGCAATTTTTAAATTGTTTTCATTGGAAAAAGAAAAAGCAAGTTTTTCTCATTCATCAGGAATAAAATGATTTACTCACATATATGATTAATAAAGATGAGATTTAAGAATCAGAACACAGGTTAACACTTGGATTTCATTCAAAGTTCTAATACCTAAATTCTCCTTTTAGTTTTTCAAAGTAAAATGAATTTCATTAAATTTTATCATGAAAATGCCTTTACACACAAGGCTAAGTGAGCATTTGCTTTCTAAAATTTAAACCAGAACACACCTGTTAATGCACACACACACATCCAGAATTACATATAACTCATCAAACACACAAAACAAGTATCAAGTTCAATAAAATGAATGATTTGGAGTGACTGGCTGAAATAAATAGTTAATGTTTGCTAAACAAACACTATCTTTTTTGTTTGTTTGTTTGTTTGTTGCTGTATGCAGGCCTCTCACTGTTGTGGCCTCTCCTGTTGCGGAGCACAGGCTCTGGACGTGCAGGCTCAGCGGCCATGGCTCACGGGCCCAGCCGCTCCACGGCATGTGGGATCTTCCCGGACTGGGGCACGAACCCGTGTCTCCTGCATCAGCAGGCGGACTCTCAACCACTGCGCCACCAGGGAAGCCCAACAGACACTATCTTTTGAGGCAAATTATTCAAACTAGCAATGAATGTTAGAGCATTTAAACCAAAATGCAATAACTCCCAACAGAAAAATAAATTCAAGAGGTAAAAAAAGCAATTGTTTTGTGAACATCCTCAAGTAAAATCACTAACATGTCAAGAACATCACAAAGAGAATGATTATTATAACAAATTACATAAGCCAAAAGAGAAAAAGCATATTCATAAAAAGCTGATTTCAAGAATCTTCTCCATTTTAAGAATAATCGTTAGCTAGTTTGTTTTATTTCACTTTACAGAAATAATACATACGTTTAGTTATTTGTGGCTGTAAGCCTTAGTTTAAATTGGTTAGGGGATTAATTAGTTAACTAGTTAACACAGCTGACCACAGTCCAACCTCCACAGCAAGCCAGTTATATCTATAACACATTTCTTTTGAAAAATCACTAGAATACAAATGGAAATGATTAAAGCTGGCCTGATCTATTTAGTTATGCTAGAGACCAATATAACTGTAAACCCTGAAACCTGCTGAGGAATTTCCTGGAGGTCCAGTGGTTAAGACTCCACGCTTCCACTATAGGGGGCGCAAGTTCGATCTCCAGTCGGGGAACTAAGATCCCACAAGCCACACGGTATGGCCAAAAAAACAAAAACAAAAACAATGCAGCTACTGAAACCCGCTGAAATGACTTTATGCATTTTCCATATGGAAAAACTAAAAATATATACAACATTTAAATCATGTTTTTATGCTTCCTCTCTGTCTAAAAGGAAGTTGTTTATTAACATGAAATTATTTTTTTAATTGCTTTCCAGTACCTTTCATATGGTCCAGGGTGTTGAATCTGAATTAACTGATTTTGTCCATCAGGAAAAGTTAACTTACACCAACCTAAATTGAGACCTCGATTTACCTTAAGAAGCAAGGAGGAAAGGAAAGTTTTAATATTCTAGAACTGAAAAACAAAACCTTCTTTTTAATTAATTTTCAGTAAAAAAAAAAAAAAAAAAAAAAAAAAGAAGTAGATGAATCATTAAAACTTTATTTTGACTAACTTAAAAGTTTTATTTTACATGGGATATGGGTATTATTTAACCACCACCCTTATATAGATAATTATCAAAAGAACAAAAATACTAGTCCCTCTCTCTATAATGAGTTACCTTTATAAAAATGACGATTTGTCACACCTTTCTGATTTCTGCTAGGAAATCCAATGAGATCAGTAAAGCCTCTTGACGGATTTTATACTTCAAAAAATAGAGATACTGTGGTACTTCATTTTCTTTGTACTATTTCCACAGATTAAAAATAAATAAATAAAAAACAGATTTCAGCCTGAAGTATAATTACCTGCCTCTTTTCAATAAGAGAGCTGAAATTCCAATTCAGGGTTAGAGTAATGCCATCTAAAAAGACAGCATGTACTTTGTCATCGGAGTATGCAAGAAATCTTCCCACATTGGGTATGAACGATTCTCTCAAAAGCAAAGGCAGTATATTGCTATCATTTATCTCAGGTACCTAAAACAAGAAAATAAAAATAGCAGGAGAGAGAGTTATCCACTAATAAGATTGAAATGATTAATGAACACTGAGGCAACTTCAGATTCTCATTCAGAAGTTGAATATTGTAGAACCCTTATGGATGTTTTAACTTTTGCAGAAGTGGCTACCCAAAAGAGTCTATTGTAAGCAGATTAAGTACTAATACCTTTGGAAAGTCACCATTCTGCTGAACTTTACATAGAAAATAGACAAAGATTAGGAACTACAGCAACATATAGGTTTATAACCAAAGCAGTATAGATACAGAAATCAAGGTCTGAGAATCACTTCCTCCAAGTCAGCATTAAAAAAATTTACTTTTACAGTAATGGAAATAGAATGAATACTGTAATGTTTCAAAATAACTATGTTTTCACATACTTCAAATCCAATCAATTCCCCTGCCCTCCCCCTCTAAGAAAAAAGAAACAACAAATTATATACAGTAAAAGTATAACATAAAAGCCGAGTTTTGCAGTGTTTATCTATTAAATGGATTTTTAAAATAAACCAGTATTAATATTACAAAGACTTTCTCACATGACTTAGATGAAAGTAATTTGAACTTATATGTATGTATACAAATAATAAAGCAATTAAAAATATCTTGCTTTTAGAATAATTTAAGATACCATTTTCCAGCAGCATATATGATAGTTATGGCTTAAAGAAAGCTTCATCTTGGCACAATGCTGAAGAATTCTGTCAACAAGAAAAATACTATTTAAACGTTTGCAAATAATGTCATTTTCCAATTCTAGCAGCCCATTCTCACTGCTAAACAACATTTTAGGCAAGTAACTCACTTCCACAAAAATACGTTTGGACCTCTTTCTCCCTTAAGCCCCTAGAAGGGGACTGCTACTGTTGCTTCCCTTTGTGCTAATCTTACATAGTTAAGGTTATTCCTCTAATTTTTAGCAATGAAATGACTCCAAATGGAGAGGATTTTCAGAATTTGCTCCTTTTTAAGAAGTGACAGATTCACAGCACCTGAAAGGTTTAGCATAGTCTAAGAGTGGTGGGGATGTGAATCAACTGTCCCTAGAAAATCAAATGACCAGTTCTGCTCCTTCAAATCTACTTTAGAAGTTGCTTAAACGTAAGTTTATAAAACAAATAATTTAATTCAACAATCCACTTTCATTCCTCTTGGTGCCACAGACTGATTAATGAATTAAAAAACATATGAACCGGGCTTCCCTGGTGGCACAGTGGTTGAGAGTCCGCCTGCAGATGCAGGGGACACAGGTTCGTGCCCCGGTCCGGGAAGATCCCACATGCCGCGGAGTGGCTGGGCCCGTGAGCCATGGCCGCTGAGCCTGCGCGTCCGGAGCCTGTGCTCC